TTTCAAATGAATATAAGTCTTTTAATCTTGAAATCCTTTGTCTTTGAATCATCATCAAAATCTTTAATCATCGTATCCTTGCATTTTCAACAAAAGTACAGCCCTCCTTTTGATTCAGCCAAGTGTTAATCCTTGCTCTTGTCTTTAATATTTCTCCTCTTCCAAGTCCCACATTACTTTAGGAAAGTTGTTTTCAAATGTTTATATACCAAGGAGTTTCCATAATATGAAACCAAGTGGAGTGAGTAAAGGATGGTTGTGGCTTGTGTGTTAGACCAGGCCAAGCTCTTAGATGTGACTTGTGTGTGTTGGATTGTGCCAAGTTCTTGGACCATTCCTTGTGTGCTAGATTAGATCAAGTGTGTCCTTGCAAAAAGAGAAAAAGGAAGGTTTTTACAATTTCATACAAGGCTAAGGTAGAAGAGAGTTTTTAAGAGAAAGTCCAAAGAATGAGTGTTCTTAGAGAAGCTTTCTCCTCTTTTATTCTTCTAGTCATGACCGTTGTAAGTGGTCAATGTGTGTCTATGGTCCTTGATGGCAACTCATTTGTTAGTATTTTTTTTAGTTAATAGAATAGAATTAGATTCTTTATGGTTCTTATTCTATTATATTAGATTAGATTTGCATTTTTAGGAAAAAATATGCAAAATCACAAGAATATACTAATTTTTTGTATTTTAACATAGTTTTATGTATTACTTATGATTTCTTCATTGACCAGTTTTGACTTTTGCCTCTTCTTTGATTTATACCTTTTTCTACAGAACTCCGATTGAGCTTATTCTTTTTGTGTTGGAAACTAGACATCTTAAGCTTCAATTTGAGCACAAGTTTGACTATTTATGAAGCTAGGAGCTATCTTTAATAAATCAGACAAAATGGTGACGTGAAACTGAAAATCCTGTTATGGAAGTGATACGGAAATTAACTATAGTTAGATTTAGGACACACTTGTAATTAGTTTTAATCATGGTTTAGTTTGTTTTAACTCAAGTTAACTCACATTTGAACCTATAAATAAGACATTTTTGTGTCATTGTAAGACACACCAAATTCTATTCTTCAATTGATGTGAAGCTAATTCAAGTTCTCTCAATTCTCGTTCTTTCTCTTGCTCTCTCTTTAGTTTTCAGTTTAGTTTTCTTTTTGTCTCTTTAGTTTCCATTCTTTCTGCTTTGTTTAGTGTTCTTCTTGATTTACTTTATTTTTTCTTTCAATTTAATTCTATTTTACATTTGTTCTACATGAATTTCTACTTCAATTCATCACATAATCATCGATTGTTCACAATGTTGTGTCTAGCTTTGTTCTTCTTCATTGTTTTCAGTTTTTACATTGTTTTGGAAATAATTTGAGTGTGATTCTTGTTGTTTTTTAAGCCTTAATCGGACCCTTATTCATTAAGGAGAAGAATCACGTCTCATTAGTCAATTTCACAAAGTTTTCATGTGTTGTTTTATTGTTCTTGTTGTTTTGACATTGTTTTACCATTTCAATTTTGTTTTTTTTTGTTTTGGTTTAATTTCTCCTATTTGATTGGTTTTGTTCTTAGATGTTGTTTCAAGTTCTTTTACTTTGTTTTAGAATTCAATCAATCAAAAATCGTTTTAGGAGTATTTTCTATTTGGTTTGTTCATAGCAATTTAAGAGTAGTTTTCAATTTAGGAATAGCTTTTTACATTTGATTGAATTTTTGTGTTTGATTTTGTAGAATTTGTTCTTCATAATCCTTTGCTGTTTTAGCACAATTTAGAAGTTCTAAACATTAGTTAATAGGTTTTTAAGTTTTTTCAAACAATTAGAGGTTTGTTTACAATTAATCTTTACATTCGGTCATGAGTAGTTTCAAGTTTTTGTCCATTTGAATTCTTCAATTGTTCCCATTTGTTCTTACTGTATTTTCTGTCCAGATTTAATTCCAAGCATGATTTGACACTGTTTTTGTTAATTCCAAACTGTTTTAGTTTCTAAAAAATTTTACAAACATGTTACATGCACTAGTTTAGTATAGTTTAGAATTATAGTCTAGTTTTTTATGTTGTTTCATATCATAGGCTTAATTCTTCTTAATTCTTTGTGCTCTAAAGCATTTAGAAACATTTCTAATTCTATTTTGAACTTAGTTTAATTTTGTTTGCATAATTAGCAAATGTTTTAGTTTAATTGCATTTTTCAATTTTGTTTTCCAAAGTTTTTTGTAGTTTTTACATCATTTCAATCATTTTCTATTTCCAATTGTGTGCTTAATCAATTTGGTTTCTAGCTTTGATAATTGATTAGTTTAGTTTCCATTAGATTTACAACATACAAAATTTTTTAGCTAAATCTGTCACAAAATCCGTAACTAGTTTTGTTTTTGAATTCTAGTAATTTTTTTATTCGGTTCTTGATTTGTTTTTAGTATCTTTAGTATTTTTTTTTTACCAATTTAATTTTACCATTTAGTGTTTAGTTTCATTTAAAGTTTTTACCAATTTCTCTAGAAAGTAAATTGGCATATTTTAGTTTACTAGTTTAAAATTCCTTTTAGTTGTTTACTTTTAATTTTTTTACTTTTATAATTCAAAATTCCCAAAAATTTACTTAGTTTATCTTTTTCATTCAAATTACACATCATAAAAAGAACAATTTGCAATTTCACTCCTTGGATTGATACTTGGTTTACCTCGAAAAAACTAAATTTTAAAAACCTATGCGACAAAGGATTTATGAGTCCTCCATCAATAATAGAAAATGAGGAGTATAGTCAAAATGAATAAACTCAGGAATATGTTTAGGGAAAATAAATTCAGTAAATAAAGTCGATTGATTGTATAATTCATACATCTTCATTGTAATAAGATTTTGAACTTGGACGAAAAGATTCCATACAAATAATTATATATTAAATACTTATTGATATTCATAATCATGAAAAAAATATTCTCATTTAATATTATAATTAAGCACATTCATGAATATTATACGTTACTCAAAATAAAAGATTTATAAATTATATTATTTTATAAAATAGAATTATCTTTCTAAAATATTATATACTAGGTTGAGCGTCAAAGTGTATTTACATGTGGATTTTTTTTTTTTAATCACCAAAGTTCAAATCCAATCAACATAATTAGGATTTTTATTATATTTTCTTTGGGCAAGAACAAATCTAATACAATATAGCAGGACAATGATTCTATAATTACCAAATAATTATCCAAATAATATCTTATAAAAAATTGATATTTTTACTCACAAAAGTTTTTTCTCATATTTATATTTATATTTATTCATTGACTTTATTATAAGAGAACTTTTTTAGATATTGTCCACATCTTCGACACACTTTAAAACAACTCGAATGCATTATAAAATTTACTTGAGAATGTATTATCAACCTACTAAATAATATTATCTAGAAGTGTTAATAACATCCTATAAAAATAATATTGTTATCAATATTATGTTTGATGTAAAAGAAATCATGTTCAAATTCCTTAATTCATATATCCAATTTATCTCTCGAAATAACAATTATAATTTAGAATGAAAATCTCAATAAAAATAATTAACCAATTCTCTTACACATATTAGTGATGAATAAAAATAATAAATATTTTATCTATAATATAGTAGAAAAATACTTTTTCTTCAAGAAGATATAATTTTTTTATTAGTTAACTTCTACTAATTTAGAGCCGTTCTTCTATATTTAGCCTTAAAATTGTTACTTAAGTTGATTTTTTTTAACAAGAGAAGAAAAAAAACAAATAATATTACAACCTAAGACATTATCAAAATTCATTCTGCATAAAATGTTTTAAAAAATATATTAACAATAATATTTAGTATTTATAAAAAAATTGAATAAAAAATAATTATTTAATTTTCTTCATTTACTACACTAAAAAATAAAATAAGGTAAAATATATTCATTCAATAATTATATATATTTGTGTTTAATTCAATTATGATATTTTATCTTATTTTTATTAAATATTAATTAATTTATAAAGTTTGTTATCATTATTGTTCTGTTCAGAATAAAAATATCCGAGTCTTATGTCCTCGAGCATTATTAGGATTAATTCCTATATCTATTTATTTTTTAACTCTAGTCCATCATAATTTTATCTTTAAAAAACAAATTGATGAATTAAAAGAAGAATATGTAATATATAAACTATTATAAATTTTAACTTTTAAGTGATATTAGACTTATGAGTACACTAGAACATAATATTCCATTTAAAAGCTAAAATGTCACAATCTCATATTCGATAACGTCGTTAAAATCAATTTCATATCCGATAACATCGCTAGGATCAATTCTCATATCCAAAGTATTATCTACTTAAAAAATTTTCGTTCCTCACGATTTGAGACTCATAATTAATAGAGAAATATATATAAAATTATTCTTAATCTCAACTCCTAAATAATACAAGATTAATGAACGTAGTTGAATAATCACTATTAAAAAAATAATTAATTTTATTTCAAATAAACAATTAAATAATGTGTTTCCTAATCCATATCATTTTAATTATAAAAAACTTAATTTAGTGAAAAATCACAACCAATCATAAATTTATATCATCAAATTAATTAGATTTGCCAAAAAAAAATTCCCCATATATTTTGAACAATATATAAATTCTCCATATATTACTTAATAACAATAAAATTCATAACATAAGCATATTCATCATTTAATGATTAAGTCACATAAAACTAATGATTTCTCATGATAATTAAAATTTAATAAAATAATTAATAATATAAAAAAATAAACAAAATATTTTAATTGTGAGTATTTGTCACATTTTACCAAGTAAAATATCATTCTATTACAAGATCAGAAGATAAACAATGGAATGAAAGTTTCAATATGTTAATATGTTATGCTTCATCCTATTCTATATATTAAATTCACACTACCTTGGGTCTCTGTATTTTTTATCAATCTAAACATAGTCCATGTAAACAAAAAAAGAACTACTCAATTATTTGGACTATTGATGTATGCCTAATACAAAAGGAATGCAACAGTCCTGATGACTCATGCTACTCACTTCACATTCCAGTTTGCTGACTACTTGATATCTCCCTTGTATGGCTCCAGACCTGGGAGATAAAAATATCAGGAGATATTGACAAATATCATTTCAAATATACATTAAGCTCATGGCCAAAAATGCTTGTTCAGCAAATAATTATAAATGGGGCATAGCTTCAGTCAATGGATCATCTCCTTGAAGTAGTTGAAAATTAATAAAAATTCCTATGGCAGACAAAGGTTGCTGCATTAAATTAAATACCCTTGAGATGAATATGTGGAAGATGGAAATTCTTGAGGAAAGTGTGGATGATTAAATGATGACAAATCATATGAATGCATCGTGACATTGGTGTCGCCAATGTTCACGAGGGAAGAACTGAAATCATGTTGAAGATTTTGGGCATTCTGATGTGTGTATTGAGGATCTGGCAATGATTGAGCATAACTGTGACCTGCATTTAGCGAGGTGGAATAAGTGTTAGGTTGCAAGTTTGGGATATTCTGGTGGCTATAGTGAGGAACCCACGACAACCGGGAATGACTGCTGTCTGCATTTGCAACTGTGGGATGAAAATCATGCGATGATTTTGGTATACTCTGATATGGATATTGAGGATGTTGCATTGATTGAGTATGACTACTACCCACAGGCATCAATGAAGAATGAAATTTAGGTTGCGGAAGGATGATGTTATGATGAGCATGTTGAGAATATTGCAATGTCTGAGCATAATGACTGGCCTTGAGGATAGTCTGATGTGAATACTGAGGATGGGGAAGTGGTCGCTTATAACTGCTGCCTATCCCAGTTGCATAAGCACCCTCTAGAGTAAGTTTATTAGAAGGGGAATAAAACTGATTCTTTGAAGCTTGGGATGGCACAGGCTGTGCTGCAGCTGAATAAGGCATAATAATATCATGAACTGGATAGGCACGATCAGTATGCCCCCCGAGTTCGTTTACATGTTTATAGTTCAACAGCATTGGATCTTGATTGGGTGACAGATATGCATGCTCGGAAACGGGTGGCCCTGATATCTGATAATAAGCATTATTCATTGGTTTCTTCAGAAAAGGAAGTGTAGGTGAAGTTGGCAATTCATGTAATGGGCGAAACAATTCTATAAGACTTCTTACCTGCAATATAATAAATTCCAAATAAGAGACGTAGTTTTCCTGAGTTTCTTTCATACAAAAAGAAGAGGCAGAAAAGAAAGGGAAAGAAGACTGAAACAATTGCACTTAAAATCAATTTGCAAGAGATCAAAATGAAACATACTTGTCTAATATTGAGTTCAGGATTAAATTTGGTGGAGCCTTTCTGGTAATTATCTCGGATAACATGCTTAAAGCTACTCTCTGGCAAGGGTAAACAGTCTTTGTAAATTTTGAATTTCACCTGAGATAATTAAAAATATGAAAGCAGGATAATGGGAAATGAAAAATAAAGCAATAGATATGGTGCATTTGACATCACAACGAAAACTTAAAAGTCTCAACTAGCTAACTGACTTGAAGTTAATACACAAATGTTGACCAAAAAACAAGGAAAAATTAGAAAGTCAACAAAAACAACCAGCAAAACATACAATCTTGCAATGGAAAACTATTCGGGTGACAACTTCAAAAAATCAATAGACATTAAGGTTCATTGGTCAACTCCTAAAACTACAACGAAGTCAACTCAACGGAGATAAATAAGATTTCCAAATGCACCTGAAGAACCATCAAGAATCAATTATATTCTTCCAGATGTATCAAACTCCAAAGGCAGAAATTGACACCCAAAAGGCAAGTTATACGTCTTGGAACATCAGTAATTCAACTGGCTAATTTAAGAAATAGCCAAATATATTTGAGAAAAAGGAAATGTTATCATACTGGGGCAATGGTAAACTTTAGAAGTGGGTAGTTTTTGTTAGGATTCAGTTTTTATTTAGTCAATTCTATTTATTATTTATTGTAAATAAAATCCTAAATATCAAGTGGTTTTTAGTCTTCCACATTATTAGGGGTTGTTATAACCAGGCTACTGATTTTTCTCCATGTAAGTTGTGTAAGGCTTTAGTTTATCTCCTAGAAACATTGTGAGCATTGTTTAGTACCCAACAAGCTGGTATCAAAGCTTCGAAAGAAGCCTGATAGAGTGCAAAGAACATGGCAACTAAAGCAAGCAATTTTGTATAAGCCTTCATCCCAGAATTTGATGGAGATTACGATCATTGGAGTCTCCTTATGGAGAATCTCCTAAGATCAAAGGAGTACTGGACCATGGTTGAATCAGGGTACCAAGAGCCACAGGACGTACAAAGCTTATCAGCAGCACAATGAAAAACATTAGATGAGATGAAGTTGAAGGATCTAAAAGCCAAGAACTTTCTTTTCCAAGGTATTGATAAGTCTATTCTGAAAACCATCACTCAGAAAGAGACTTCCAAGCAGTTGTGGGACTCAATGAGAGTCAAATATCAAGGAAATGCTAAAGTTCAATGTGCTCAACTTCAAAGACTCCGAAGAACCTTTGAACTTCTAGAGATGAAGGTGGGAGAAACTATCACTGACTATATTGCTCGAGTCATGGTGGTGGTCGTTGACATGAGAAATTGTGGAGAAGATATGACAAATGGTAAAATTGTTGAGAAGATATTACGAACTCTCACAGAGAATTTTGACTATATTGTGTGCTCTATTGAAGAAACAAATGACACTGACAAGCTTACGGTTGATGCACTACAAAGCTCGTTGCTCGTTCATGAACAAAAGTTATTAGGAAGAAGAGAAGGAGATGAGCAAGCTCTAAAGATTTCATATGAGGAGAAAACATATGGAAGAGGACGAGGTTGTGAGGTAGGCAAAAGTGGTGGAGTTGCAAGAGGAAGAGGTCGAGGTAGATCTTTCAATAAAACAACATGTTAGGATTAGTCCTCCAATAAAGAAGAGGTATGTTAGGCGCAATAAAGGAATAAGCCAGGCACAATAACTGAATAACTAATTCAGTTATGATGAGTTGTTGGGATGTTTTAAATAGAGGAGAATGGGCGAGGGAAAGGGAGGAAAAAAGATATTAAGAACTGGTTGGGAGAGGTTAGGCTCTCGAATCCCTAACAAATCTATAAATTCTCTTGTTTTCTATTCAATACAATTCCCATTTGATTCAGTTCTTACAACTGGTATCACAACACTCGTTTCTTGGGAAAATTGTTCATGGTACAAACAAGGATGGAAGCTAGACTAGACAGCTTGGAGAAAGGCTTTGAAAGCCTTTTAGAGATGATGCAGAACATTAACCGGACGCTGCAGCAGAAAACAAATTCTACTGGAGAAAGTGACGACGGAGGAACTCAGGGGGAAAGAAACGGCATGAGAAAGGGTTTGTGGGAGGACCGGTGGAGGAGATTGGAAATTCCAATCTTTGTTGGGGAAGACGCATATGGATGGGTCAATCGAGTGGAAAGATACTTCAATTTGAAGGGAGTTATGGAGCAAGAACGCTTAGGCTATCATGGTGGCTATGGAGGGAAAAGCTTTTAACTTGGTTCCAATGGTAGGAGTTTTGCGCAATCAACCACACATGGGAGGAGTTTCGCACGGCTGTTATAAGAAGGATTCAACCTTCTATGACCCAAAACCCATTCGAATTGTTGTTGGGTCTCAAACAAAGCTCATCGGTGGAAGATTATCGAGAAAAATTTGAGCTATACGCTGGGCCTCTCAAGGGAACCGACCCAGATTACTTGAAGGGCATTTTCTTGAATGGGTTGAAGGATGTAATTAAGGCAGAACTGAAATTGTATAAGGTGGAATCCTTACCGGAGTTGATGGACTATGCCCAGGGAATTGATGAGAACAAGGTGATAAATAATGAAGGGGGGTGGAATGATAAAGGAGGAAATCGCCCAAGAAGTTATCAACCGGCAAGAACGGTCACATGGAATGGAGGGAATAATACAACCGGAGAAAATTATCCAGTCGGAGGAGCTAGTTCAGCTGGAGGTAGCAACTCAACTACTGAATCCAATAATAGCCTGAAATCTACTGGCTCATTCAGAGGAAAAGGTTTCAAGAAGTTAACGGATGCAGAATACCAAGAGAAACCAAGAAAAGGACTGTGTTTCAGATGTGATAAAAAATTTGAACCAGGACATATATGCAAGAGCAAGCATCTTCAAGTGTTAATCTTGAATGAAGAAGAGGAGGAAGAGAGGAATGAAGAAGGAGGAGGGAGCCAATTAAGAAAAGGCCAAGAAGAAGAGATAGATCTAAGGACATTGCAGTTGTCCATGTATAGCATAACAGGACTGACCTCCAAAAAGTCCATTAAGATGTGGGGAGAAATTGAGGGAGAGAAGGTAACTGTTCTGGTGGATTGTGGAGCTTCCCATAATTTCATCTCTTTTGCCTTAGTTCAAAAAAAATTAATTCCAGTTGCGGAAACAACAGCCTATACTGTAGAAGTTGGAGATGGGCGGAAAATAAGATGTAGTGGTGTTTGCCAAAAGTTAGTATTACAAATTCAGAATCTCAAGATCCAACAAGACTTCTTTGTCTTTGAATTGGGAGGGGTTGATGTGGTATTGGGGATGGAATGGTTGGCTGAGCTGGGAGATATAACAGCCAACTTTAAGGATCTCACATTAAAGTTACCTACCAGCCAAGGAACCATGGTCTTGAAAGGAGAAATAGCCTTGTCCAGAACTGAAGCATCGTTTCAGTCAATAATTCGAGCATTACGGGATGAAGGCCAAGGTTTTTTCCTGGAATGCAAAAAAATGATTCAAGAGCCAGATAAACCGCCAGTATTCCAACTGGAATTCAGAAGATTTTAGAGGAGGCTGAGATAGTGTTTCAAGCACCCCAAGGGTTACCCCCTTCAAGGAGACATGATCATGCCATAGTGCTGAAGGAAGGAGCCCAAATTCCTAATCTACGCCCTTACAGGTATCTCACTACCAAAAGAATGAGATTGAAAAATTAGTAAGTGATATGTTGTTGTCTGGAGTTATAAGGCCAAGTGTAAGTCCATATTCTAGTCCCATTATTCTGGTTAAAAAGAAAGATGGAGGATGGAGGTTTTGTTTTGACTATAGGGCACTAAATAAGATTACAACCCCGGATAAATTTCCAATATCTATGATTGATGAATTGCTAGATGAGTTGGGAGGTGCCATTATCTTCTCCAAATTGGATCTCAAATCCGGATATCATCAAATCAAGATGAAAGAAGAAGACATTCCCAAGACTGCTTTTCGAACACATGATGGCCATTATGAATTTGTAGTTATGCCATTTGGCTTAACTAATGCTCCTTCCACATTTCAATCTCTGATGAATGACATTCTAAGGCCTTTCTTGAGGAAGTTTGTGCTAGTTTTTCTTTGATGACACCCTGATTTACAGCAAGAGTGAGGTGGATCATGAAGAACATCTTAGGGTGGTTCTAAAAATTTTGGAGGAGCATGTATTGTTTGTGAACAAGAAGAAATGTAGTTTTGGCCAATTTCAGATTGAGTATTTAGGCCATGTAATTTCAGCTCAAGGAGTAGCAGTTGATCCTAAGAAACTGGAAGCCATGATGTCTTGGCCAATACCCAAAGATGTGAAGGCACTTAAGAGGATTCCTGGGCCTCACTGGATATTATAGAAGGTTTGCCAGAAATTATGACAGCATTGCAAGGCCTCTAACTCAGCACCTACAAAAGGATGGGTTTATTTGATGATCTAAAAGCCATGATGGCCAAGCTGCCAATCCTAACAGTTCCTGATTTTTCAAAAACCTTTATGGTGGAGACGGAAGCATCCAACAAGGGATTAGGAGCAGTATTGCTACAGGAAGATAGACCTGTAGCATTTTTGAGTCAAAAACTTTCAGACCGGGCCCAGAAAAGATCAGTCTATGAGAGAGAGCTCATGGCCATAGTTATGGCTGTGCAAAAATGGAGACATTACTTGATAGGACGTCATTTTGTGGTTCATACTAATCAGAGGAGCTTAAAGTTTTTAATTGATCAACGTTTGTTAAATGATGAGCAGCTAAAATGGACCTCCAAACTGATAGGGTTCGATTTCGAAATCAAATATAAACCTGGTTGTGAGAATGGAGCAACAGATGCTTTATCAGGTTTCTTCAGGACCTACAAGAGAATAGCTGCTTTGGTATTTTGGAAGGGGATGCGCAAGGATGTGCAACAGTATGTAATGTACAGTTTGTCAGCAAAATAAGCATCAAGCTCTGACTCCAGCTGGCCTTCTACAACCGTTGCCCATTCCAACACAGGTTTGGTCAGATATTTCCATGGATTTCTGTAGGAAATCAAATAGTATTTTAGGAAAGAATAAATTAGGAAATTTTTAATCTGTACAGATTTGAACAATTAGGAACAATACCATATATCAAGGGATCCTAGAATAAAATAGAGTTATTATATTTCCAAAAATAGCTTAGGTATCTTGTATATATCTTGTATGATCTCTTTGTATTAAAATAAATAAAAGATTTCATTTAATCTAATTTTCCAGATGGTATCAGAGCTTCCAATCTAGGAAGTTCTGTCTGCGCACTATAAACCCTAAGACGACAGCCTGTATTGCTGCTGCATTTTTTCTTAACCCTAAGACGGCAACCTGCATTGCTGCTGCATTTTTCTTAATCCTAAGACAACAGCCTGCATTGTTGTTGCATCGCACCTTTTTGCTATAATGTCAAGGGAAGAGAGATAGAAAGGGTGAAAACCGTTCTTAGTAAGCTAAAAAAACCTATAGGTGTGTGTTCTTTGGCATACTCAAGTAAGTTTCCACCTTCTTTTGGATTAAAAGTCTCAGATACACCTTTTAATCATTATTGGATATTGGACTCTGGAGCCACAGATCACATGACACCATTAGCCAAACACTTCTCCACATATTCCCCATGTCCAAATTGCCACAGCAGATGGAACCCTTATAACTGTAGTTGGTCAAGGAAATATCTAAATCAATCCTTTAATAACCTTAAAAGATGTTCTTCATGTCCCAAAGCTGTCCACGAACCTAGTGTCTATACAAAAACTTATAAAGGATTTGTCATGTAAAGTTGTTTTTTTCAACGATCATTGTGTATTTCAGGACAAGGATTCAGGGAGGATGATTGGACATGCTAGAGAATGGAATGGCCTTTATTATCTCGAAGATCCAAGTCTGCCCAACAAGAATAGAATCTCTCACTCCTTCATATCTGAATCCTTGATGACCAACAGAGAAAAAATCATGCTTTATCATTGTCGGTTGGGAGATCCCTCTTTTGGAGTGATCAAAATTATGTTTCCCTCTCTGTTTACCAAGTTAGATGTTGAGAGTCTTCATTGTGAGGTGTGTGAACTTGCTAAGCACAAGCATATATCTTTTCCAATAAGTAATAGAATTAGCAATTTTCCTTTTCATCTTGTTCATACTTATGTATGGGGACCTTCTGTTAAGATTCCAACATAAAACCAATTGGCAATATGTGGAGTAGCCTAACATGTATTTAAATCATACCAAATGACATGAGGTAGGCGATGTGGGACTTTCAACACGCCCCCTCCAACAAAGCCTACCGGACCAGGCAAAGGGTACTTTTGACTAAAGGGCAACTTTTGGCCCATGACAATAACCGGAAAGATGTTAGGCTTTGGCTCTGATACCATGTTAAGATTCCAACATAAAACCAATTGGCAATATGTGGAGTAGCCTAACATGTATTTAAATCATACCAAATGACATGAGGTAGGCGATATGGGACTTTCAACACCTTCTAATATTCCAAATATGTCTGGTACTCGATGGTTTGTCACCTTTATACATGACTGTACAAGGGTCACTTGGGTTTTCCTACTTAAACAAAAATCAGAAGTTAGTTCTGTCTTCCTAAACTTTCACTCCATGATAAAAAATCAGTTTGGTGTTAATATTAAGAGGCTTAGGTCAGATAATGTCAAAGATTACTTCAATCATGTCCTTAATTCTTTTTGTCAAAAAGAATGTATAATTCATGAGTTCTCTTATGTCAAAACACCACAACAGAATGGGGTCGCAGAGAGGAAAAATTGACATCTATTAAATCAGACTCGGGCATTGTTGTTCCAAAAAAGTGTCCCAAAAAATTTATGCGGGGAAGTTGTCCTTACAGCAACATACCTTATCAATAGACTACCTTCTAGAGTCTTAGGATCAAAAAGCCCTATGGAAGTTTTGTCGTCTTTCTATCCAAACTTGTCTACTACAAATAATCTTAAACCAAGAGTTTTTGGGTGCATCTCATATGTCCATATTCATAGTACTGACAGGGGGAAACTTGATCCTAGAGCCTTAAAGTGTGTCTTTGTTGGTTACTCACCCACTCAAAAAGGGTATAAATGCTACCACCCCCCATCCAAAAAATTCTTTGTGTCTAGGGATGTTACCTTCAATGAACAAGAGGGTTATTTCCATCAACTTTATCTTCAAGGGGAGAGTTTCAGGGAAGATAAGGAAGATAAGGAAAGTAGTAATTCTAGTTTTTTCATTCTTCCAGACTTGACGTTTGAACCTAAACGAGATCATATTAAAAGTAGTAATTCTGGTTTTCCCATTCTTCCAGACTTGACATTTGAACCTAAACGAGATCATATTAAAAGTAGTAATTTTGGTTTTCCCATTCTTCCAAACTTGATATTTGAACCTAAACGAAATCAAATTGAAGTTGTAACAAATGAAACAAGTCAAGGAATTGGTCAAGAAAAGGAAGTTGATCAAGAAAGTGAAATTAATTGTGAAGTTGATCAAGATGTTGAAGCTGGAAAATTTGGTAAGAAGCTGGTGTACTCAAAGAACACTAAGTCCATTCCAGGATCAAGCCATGTTCAAGAATCCAACTCGACTCCACAAAAAGAGGTAACAATTTTTTCTCCAGCTGTGCAGGTTGAAATTGAAACCCAAAATGATCCTGACCTCCCAATTGTCATTAGAAAAGGGACAAGAAAATGCACCAAACAACCACTTTACCCTCTCTCAAATTACTTGTCCTTTAAAAATTTCTCTTCTACCCATAAAACCTTCCTAGTAAACCTAAACACTATACTTCTACCTAATCCCCTATCTGAGGCATTGTCTGACAGAAAATGGAGGCAAGCCATGGATATAGAGATGGAGGCATTGGAAAAGAACAACACCTGGGAGTTAGTCACCTTACCAATAGGAAAGAGGTCAATTGGATGTAAGTGGGTCTATACAGTGAAATACAAGGCTGATGGATCAATTGAGAGATATAAGGCAAGACTAGTTGCCAAAGGGTTCACCCAAACCTATGGAGTTGATTATTTGGAGACCTTTGCTCCGGTTGCCAAAATGAACACAGATAGGGTGATATTGTCCCTTGTTGCCAATTATGGTTGGAACTTGGAACAATTTGATGTTAAGAATGCTTTCCTACATGGAGACCTTGAAGAAGAAATTTATATGGAGATACCTCCGAGATATGGTAAAGATATTGTTGTCAACACTGTCTGCAAGTTGAAAAAGGCATTATATGGGCTAAAACAATCCCCCCGTGCATGGTTTGGCAGGTTTACTAAAGTTATGACAGGTCTGGGTTACAAACAAAGCCAAGGGGATCATACTTTGTTCTTTAAACATTCCAAGTCAAGGGGAGTAACAATATTATTGGTGTATGTGGATGACATAATATTAACTGGAGATAATAAAGAAGAGCAGCAATTATTGAGCCAATGCTTAGGCAAGGAATTTGAGATCAAGACCTTGGGAAAACTAAAATATTTTTTAGGAATTGAAGTTGCCCACTCCAAGAAAGGGATATTTATATCCCAGCAGAAAT